GCCTTTAAGTCCTAAAAGTGGCCAGAATTTATCAACATGAACCTGCTCCCATAGACTTCAATGGGCTGCTATCAAATTATTACTATTAATATTAATAATAATGTTGTTCAAGATTACATAGCAATAACAGTTTGCACAGTGCTTTACAGAATAGGATTCAGTCAGGGGCGGACTGACCATTTGAGAACTCAGGCACTGCCCGAGGGCCCGAAGTCAGTAAGGGGCCCCATGAGATGCCCCTGGTACCTTTTTATAGGCTTTTTTGGATGTGGTTTGGAGTGTGGGTGAGGACACAGGGGCCCCATGATCCCCTATTGCCCAGGGGCCCCATGAGTTGTCAGTCCACCCCTGGATTCAATACAAGAAGGTCAGGAGAGCTCTGCTTGTGAAAGGTCACAATCCAAAAGGGAGGGTCAAGAGATACAAAAGGTATTAACTGTGGTGGATGAGCTGATGCAGAAAATAAAAGTTACATTTGTTAGGTGGATGTGGGAAAGGCTTTCTTATAGAGATGAGTTTTCAGGGACCATCAAAGGATAGACAGTGTAGGACATAGGTAGAGGAGGAGGTCTTGTGAGGCCCACAGAGGACAATAGACTGATGGTATGAGATGAGGTTAGTGATGTAACTCAGGGCAGAGTTATGGATGGCTTTGTATGTTATTAGTAAGTTAGAAGTTTGGGTTCATCAGACTTCAAGGGGGATTCTTCAACCTAAACTCAGGCAGTTTTACTTATCTCTTAATATTAGCTAATGGTTTTCTCTGAACCTAGCTTCAGACTAAATATTTCCTGTCTGAGAGTTTGAACGAAAGCTGAAACTTTTGCCCATTCAGCCCACTATTCAGTCGGAGCCAAAAATCATAGAGAGAAAGTGGTATTTCTAATGCTTTTATATATGTCAGCTTGCCGCTGTCACTAGTTCCTAAGGTGTCCCTAGGAACCCTTGAGGTCACTGGGAGTCAGTGCCACTTAAGCAAAGGGGCAGAGATAGTAGTGATATCACTGCTCTCAAATATGGCCACCAGTTAATGATGTCAGCACCATCCTCCTCTTGAAGTCATTCAGCTAGGGGTAACATCGGGATCAATTGTGTGCACTGGGTCATCAAGTTTTTTTTATTTTGGCAGCAGGCGTAATGACTGATGATGGGTTTTACAATGACAGATATTTTTGGGGATTTTTAATTTCTTAAAAAAGATTTGCCAAATGTTTGGATGTCCTGAATTCCAGGTTGCAATTCTTTTTTTGTTTTTGTGGATGTACCCCATACTTATTTACGTGGGGAAGGCGGTATGTGGGGGTCCTCTTATTTTTTAAAGGGAGCATCCAGATTCTGAAGGGCCCCCACCTGCATACCCTGACAGCCACTGACCAGGGTTGTAGAGATGAGTCCCTTGTCCTCTTGGTAAACAAAGTCCTTTACCCCATCCCCCACTCCTATGTTGAAGGCATAGTGATGCTGCCAGTAACTGGGAATTCTAAATAAATAGAAAGTAAGGATGTAAAGGATGTGAGGAATAAAGAATGAGAGGTGGGGGGGAAGGGCGGGGGGAAGGGGGGGGGGGGGAAGAGGGCGGTAGGGACACAGAATCGCCCCTCCACTGGATAAAGGTGTGAAAGGCACAGCTTTACTGGGAGTTGGACAGCTGGTTGAGGTAGGAATCAGTATAGACAAAGTATTTCCAGGGTCTCCAGGTTTCAGTACAAGACTCTTCCATGTTACGCAATGTGGTTGTAAGGTCCTCCATATCTCTCAGGTCATTTACTCTAGCACACCAGAGAGCCTTTGTAGGAGGGTCAGCACTCCTCCAACAAATCGGAACACAGGCTTTATCAGCATTTAAGAGTTGGAATGTTAGGGAGGTTTTGTATTTTTTTATAGGTCTCTCCATTAAGTGCAACAGACAGGCCACCAGTTAGTCATGCGAGTTGTTTAATGACAGCAGTTGTATCCTGCCAGAACAACTGAATTCCTGGACAAGTCCAGAAAATGTGGAGCATGTTCCCGCCCTCTATGCCACAGCACCAGCATGAGTAGGGAATCAGGGAAGAGATATGGTGAAGCAGGGATGGGACCCTGTACCATCTGGTGAGAATTTTGTAGCTAGTCGTTTGGACCCTTGTGGCGATAGAGGACTTTGGGCTAATTGGAGAATTTCTTGTCTCTGACTAGGAGTAAAACTCATGCCTATATCGGATTCCCACTTTATGAGAAAGGAGGGTATGTAGTTCTCTCCAGGATGTTTCAGGATGGTATAAAGCAGGGAAGGAGAATGACGTATTGGTTACCCTCTATGGCACAGTAATTCAAATCCAGCAAACGGGTAGTTAATGCCTAAAGTAATGGAGCGCTGGCAGAGAAAGTAGCACAGCTGTCCATCCCAGAAATCTAGGGGAGGGTCAGCAAGTTGGGTAAGATCTGTAACAATCAAAATCCCCTCTTAGGTTAGAAAATCAAATACATTGGTGTAGCCTTGGGTTTTGAGGCAATGAAATTGCCCTCATGGAGTCAGGAGTGAAATCAGGGTTGCCCAGAATAGAGATCATGGGTGAAGGGAGCAGGGAAACTGTGGTGGTGCAAAACATTTTAGGTGAAACCCAGAGGGTACTGCCAAGGGTAGGGTGCATGCATAGCTCCTTCGGAAGAGGGGATGCAATCCAAGGCCAGCCCAAGGCTTTGCCCTGGGAGTCCTCCAACTCCATGGAGACCCAGAGTTTTGCTTCTCCAGGGCAGTGCCAGACGATTATCCTGGCAAGATGTGTGGCCCTATAATAAGTTTGAATATTGGGAAGGCTAGACCTCCAGAGGACTTAGGCAAGGATAGGCTCTATAATTTCTGGTGTGGTCTCTTGTGAAACCAGATGAAGTTCTGAAACTGGGAGCAGATATTCCAGTAGAAGAAAGGCGACAAACATATGGAAGGGGCTTGCAGCAAATAAAAAATTTGAGGAAGCACAGTAATTTTGACAGCACTGCAGTGACCAAACCACATCAGCGTTAGAGAGTGCCAATCCAATAAGTCTTCTTTAAGCTTGAGAAGAAGTGTTTTGAAATTTGCAGAATAAAGAGGTCTGGGGTAATGTTCATACCGAGATACCTGATCGCAGCAGAGGCCCATCCGAATGGAAAAGAGGGTTTCAGGCTACAAATTGTGTTTGGATCCGTAGAGACATTGAGGGTGGGAAACCAGATTGATTCTAAAGTATGACAGTGCCCCCGTATACCTTCAGGGACTTCAAAAGATTTTGTAACAAAAAAGATCAAGTTGTCAGCAAAGGCCACCACCCTTTGCATTTGGACATGAACATGCATGAACTTTCGGTAGCCAGCTATGTTGGGATTGGCGTGGACCATGCAAATTATTACAACAAAGGATTTTGTATTGTATGCTGGCTTGTACCATCATGCATAGGCAAGGTCTTCAAACTGTGATGCATACACCACAGGGTTGATATGTTTTTTTTCCCACCCAAGCAGCATAGTGAGGAAAATTTGGATTGTCTGCATTATTCCGCCAACTGCAAAATCTATTTAGCTAAAATTACTCCTCTTATCCCTGTAAGCAATACGTTGTGGTAAATTCTGCTAATTTCTGGAGAACTTTTTCATTATTATCTTAATCAACCATGTTGCGTTTACATTTATCCAATCAATTGTATTACCTTGTCTGGTCGAGTATCCCTCTGCTGATGTAAAATTGCGATAGCTTCACTGGAATGCATGAGTTTAACAGAGATCTTCGTTTCTCCAGGCCACTGAAAAATAAACCTTGCCGTATAGGAACCATTATAATGATCTGTAACAGAGCCACTCACTCCAGCTTTCAGACTCAAAGAGTGAAACTTCACATGAAAGAAATCCCCTCCATAGTTCTTTGTCCTACCTTTGTGGTCCTTAGCTATAATTAAAACCTCCAGTGATTCACCAATCACATAAGTAGCCCGAGGATTGATTATAAAATATTCAGAAGTCTTTGGGTGGGTGGAAAATTCCAGGGATACATTGGTTGGAGCCAGAGGCCATTCAATCATCTTCAGCAGATTGCTGAGCTCTTCACTTTGAGGGCTGGTCAGATGAAATGTTGGTGTAGACGTAGTCGCCAATGTAGCTGGAGAACTGTTTGCATTGGAATAGTCTCTCCACAATATGTTGGAAATTACCTGAATGAAGCATTGATGAATTGTTAATGTCCATAATAATTGGTGCTATCCATAAAGTCAAAGAACGGGTACACTGTATGATTATCTAATGGTGTATTTCGTATATCAAATTCATTTGGATAGTTTAAAGCCCAACTCTGGGCTTAGACCCCCTAGTTGTTCCTACCTAGGTTTTGGATTTTTTTCTACTTACCTTTTCAGAATCTTCAATCATGTGATGCTCTGGGCTGTCTTCTCTCACCTCGGGAGGTCCTCCATTGATGTATAGAGCAGCACTGACACAATGATGATCAGTGTCTTTTACCCCCTTCCTGACCAGGGCAATTTTCAGCTTTCAGCGCTATCACACTTTGAATGACAATTGCGCGGTCATGCAACACTGTACCCAAATTAATTTTTTACCATTTTTTTTTGAGACAGATAAAGCTTTATTTTGGTGGTATTTATTCACCGCTGGGATTTTTTATTTTTTTGCTATGTAAATGAAAATGTCCAAAAATTTTGAAAAATAAATAAATAAAAATCTTTGCCAAAATTTATTCTGTTATCTTTTTAGTAAAAAAAAAAAAAAATCCAAAGTTTATAACCAAAAATTATAATTTTTAAACATTTTTCTTTACATTTTTATTTTTTTATATTATTATTTTTTTTTTTTTTTTTTACATACTGTCACCCTAGCAGTACAGTGTCACCATGGTGACACTGTACTACTTGTGGGGGGGTGATGAAGATTTTTTTTTTTTTTTTTTTTTACACTGATTGCTTTTACACCCATATAGGATGTAAAAGCAATCATTTCTCTTTCTCTCTGTGTGCATTCTTGCACTCATTGAGAAGTACTGAGTGAGCTGTGATTGGTCACAGCTTGTCACATGGTACAAGGCTGTTGTGAATAGCCTTGTACCATGTGACCTCTGTGATCATTCACAGATTTCACACGTAGTAAGCAATGATGTCACAAGTGACATCTTGCTTACTACTTTGCATGTGATCACTGATTGGCCAATCAGTGATCACATGATCGGGACCTCGTACAGAGGTTCCGTCCGACGATCGGTGTTTCACTGTGTCCGGAGGACACAGCGGGCACCGGATCGCGGTGCTGCGCGCTCCGAGGGAGCGAGCACAAGCAGAGTGCGGAGAGGCCGTTTATAAATGGCCCCCCGACCCTGTACTGCCACCGTCCGGCCGTTTATATGCAACGGCCGGTTGGGAAGTGGTTAAACAACGATTAATTAATGGGGCCACAGTGAAACCCCCTTAGGGGAGGGGTCATAAGAACCATTCATTATTAATATGTCTTCTTAATTGAATTTAAACTGTGTCATTGAACTTGGAAAAGGAGAACATCTTGTGGTGGAGTAGAAATAATGCTGCAGAGGACAGCTCTGGATTAATGGCGAGTGTTGCAGTCTCAGCTGCTTTTTTATTTTATTTTTTTTAAATGCAAAAAAATTTATTTAAAATAATCAATAAAATTGCCCACAGTCAGGCTTTAAAGAAGTTAACTACCTCCTTCCCATAACCCTTTTAAACATAGCAACCAAATGATGGGGGTATGGGACTGTGTAACTGGATATTTTAAAAAATGTTGTTTATGGTATATTGATAACTATCATATCATGTTACTTGAGCTCTTAAAAAAAATGCATGCAAGAACTACTACTCATTAAATTAATATTTTACTATTAATGCTCTAAGTTGAGCTTAGTCTGCATCAACAACTCGATATATGTCACGTTTTGAATGCAACAAAATCTACAAAAGGGCTCTTGAAACAATTAAAAACATCTGAAGATAGTGGACTTGCCATAAACAATGTATGATATATATACTGTAACTTGAATGTCTTTATTTCATTCCATTTACATGAGATTACATTAAAAGGTTCAAAAGGTGTTTCCAAACCAACAAACAATCAAAAGACATTTCTTTTTGCAAAGAAGGCAAGCAAGTAATTATAATGAACCTACTCAAAAATATCTGATGGTCTGTTTCAATGTGAAAGTATTAACCACTTGCCCTCCTGAGGATTTACCCCACTTAATGATCAGGCCTCTTTTTGCTACTTGGCACTGCACTAATTCAACTGATAATTGCGCGGTCATGCAATGCTGCACCCAAACGAAATTTACGTCCTTTTTTTCACACAAATAGAGCTTTCTTTCGGTGGTATTAGATCATCTGTGCGCTTTTTATTTTTCACGCTATAAACAAAAAAAGGCCAAAAATTTTGAAGAAAAAAACAATATTTTTTACTTTCAGCTATAAACAATATATAGTAAACTCAAAGTTGGTTTTAAATTTAGGCCAAAATGTATTCTGCTCCATGTTTTTGGTAAAAAAAATCCCAATAAGTGTATATTGATTGCTTTGTGTGATAGTTATAGCGTCTACAAACTATGGTATAAATACTGCAATTTACGCCATTTTTCTGCTATACAGCGCTGCGCTAATTTAACGGACAATTGCGCGGTCATGCAATACGGTACATAAATTAAATTTACATCCTTTTTTCCCCCCCAAATTGAGCTTTCTTTCGGTGGTATTTGATCACCTGTGCGGTTTTTATTTTTTGCGCTATAAAAAAAAGGCTGACAATTTTGAGGAAAAAAAAAAAAAATATTTTGGACTTTTTGCTATAAAACATGTCCAGTAAAAAAAAAAAAAAATGCAAAAATCAAATTTAGTCATAAATTGTTGCCAAAATGCATTCTGTGACATGTCTTTGCTAAAAAAAAATCCCAATACGTGTAAATTAATTGGTTTACATGAAAGTTATAGCATTTACAAATGGCGGGAAAGATACTGGGATTTTTAATTTTTATTTATACTAATAATGGCGCCGATCAGCGACTTTTGGCGGCAATCAGCGCCATATGGCGGTGACCAGCGGCTTATGGCAGGACTGCGGGACAGCGGCGGACATTTTGACACTGGGGGGGAACTGACTTGGGGTCACTGACATCCCCAGTGACACCAGTACAGTGATCAGTGAAAAAAAAACCACTGAAACTGTACTAATGTCACTGGGGAGGAAGGGGTTAACATTTTTAGAATTTGCAGTGTAAGGGGAGTGTTTTACTAGGGGGCCGGGGTGTGTACTGGAGGGGGGGGGGGAGGGGAGCTGATCGAGGGAGAGAAACTCTGCTGCTTCTCACGAGCTGTCAGAGAACTGACACAGAACAGGGCTGTGTGTAAACAATGCAGCCCTGCTCTGTGTTAGCGATCACCGGCAATCGCGGGAAAACGGACGGTAAAAAACCGGCCGTGACCCGCCGACTGACACCCGCTGCGCCATATGGGACACCCACGGGACAGGTAGGGCGGGCGCACGCCCCCTACCTGTTTTGAAGGCAGCCGTTTTTAAAACGTGCTTTTGCCTACGAGCGCCGCCCTGCCGCCGTTTATATGCGGTGGCTGGGCGGCAAGTGGTTAAAGCAGTATTAAACCCAAACCGAAAAATATATTATGCTGCAAAGTACCAATCATTAGATGTGATGGCTGCATTCAGTTTCTTTTTTGTAGGCTTTCTTCTATTTTCACCTGGTGATCTGGCCAGTGTAGTGCTACCCCCAAAGGAGCCGCTGGCAACAAAATAATTGTAACTAGTAACAGCAATGAGTGGGTAAGAGAACCTCTCACCCAGTCTTTATGAGATCACTAGAGAAGCGCCAGGCATCCTGTAGTGGGGGGGCCCTTTTTTTTCTAATAAATGTTTATTGAAGTTTTTCAAAGTAAATACAACAATACAATCTTGAAATACAAACTATCAGCCAACACTATTTGTAAAACAAGGAGTACAAAGGCCTGTATAACATCTATAATGTAGAAGAAAAAATGTTAGAAATAGGCACGTAAGGTATACCATGGCAGTAAAGAAGGTTGAGCCTTACAGTAAATCAATTCCCTAGGAATGGAAGCTTGGGTACAGTAGCCTGAACAGGAATACTTCTTTATCTAATAGTATACTGTAGAAGGATAACCATGTTGGCTAGGTAAAACTTATGGAATCCACGGAAAGTCGGGGAGGAGGATAAGTGGAGGGTAGGTTGGTGACTTGGCGTTTACCCAGTGTATTGGTTAGTTGAGCTTTGAGATACCAATCTGTGTAGCGGAAGGGTTCCATGTGAGCGGCTAATTCAGCAGGTGAGAAGGAATGCTCCATGTAGGGTCTCCATCTTTGAGATGAGATGACAAGTGGACTTAAAGTTTTGGGTGATGGTGTCAAGCTTTTCCAAGTTGAAAAGGTTAGTTAGCACCTGTGTCACTGCCTTGAGAGATCGGGGATTTGGATGAATCCAGGCTTGCATGAGGGCTTTGCGGGCCACCAATAGGCAAACATGTATCCACTGGGGGGAAGTGAAGGGTGTGTGTTGATTTTGTAGGCTCTTCATAGCTAAAGAGACAGATCATGGGTTCTTTGCAGACAGAGATGTTGTAAAGTTAATTGATGTGATGAAGGATTTGGTCCCAGAAAGATGAAACACGAGCACATTCCCACAAGCGATGGAACAAGGTCGGTTGGTTGTGATCACACCAAGGGCATGATGGGTGGGCAGCTACTGCCCAGTTCATAAAGAAAGGATAATAGGCCTGGTAGATGATTTTGAATTGAGTTTCGTGTCATGTTTCAGAGTACTAGCAAAATAAATTTCCGGTATCCCAATCATAGTTTTTCTGGAATATCGTCCGTGCAAAGTATGGGGGTCCGAGGTTTAAATGGAGTAAGGCGGTATTTTGCAGATTGGTGAGAGACAAGGTGAGGGCAGATGTCTGAGATGGAATAGCGGTCTTGTTGAAGCAATATCTCTATGAAGGAGCGTTGGAAGGGATCCTGTTTAGGGGAATAGAAGGACCTTACCAGCTGATGATGGTGGAAGACATGGGATCCTGGCAGATGAGCAGCTAAAACAGAGAAGGGTTTAGAGGATCAATGGGTATCATCAAAGTCTGATATGACATTAAGAAGTCCATTACATGACCAATGGGTAAATGCTGTGTGTTCACTAGCAGGAGGGAACATAGGGTTTCCAAGTATAGACAAGTAACAAGATATATTTGACGGTAAACCAAGAAGCTTTTGCATTTCCATCCAAGCCAATATGGTGTCTCTGATCAAAGGGTTCGACCGGAGAGATACAGTTAGAGATTTGAGCTTGGAGTACAGAATGGCAGAGAGATGTAGCAGAAACACCAGGGCTTCCTCCAAACAGTTGTTGGAGTAATGTGATTTCATGATAATCCAATTGAGACCCTGGTGAAGGAGGCAGGACAAATTGTAGAATCTAATATTCGGCAGGCGTGCACCACCCCCACTTCTGGGGAGACTTAGATGTTGTAATGCAATGCATGTTTTTTTTTTGCGTTGCTATAGAAAGGCCTGTAGGGCCGTATGAATCTTCTGTAAATCGGAATGCTTTAACAAAATAGGAAGTGTTTGTAAAGGGTACAGCAATCTTGCAAATGATGGGGTGCAGCGCTAGTAAAATACTTAAATATCAAATAACCACAGATATACAGTAAATATAAAGTGACAAGGTGCAAATACAAAAGCCACTGGATGGTGGCCAAAGGTGCTAGAAGGTGTTGACTCAGTTAAAAGTCCACAAAGAAAAAGTGTTGATAAGATCTCAAATGATCTCAAAATATCCGGTGATCAGGGCCGTGGATCAGGTGATAAATGATAATGAGATTGCGTACTCACCAGATGCGCAAAAATATTAGTAAGCCACTGGTCTTCAGGATATCATCAAAATGGGTCTGGTCAGATCTGGTGGGCTAAACCAGTGGGAAGCCATATCTGGATTCATACCGACTCCTCTTAAGTATCTCTGGCCAATCATATGCTGGGCATTGGGGTAACCCAGTTGGGCGTAGAAATGGGTGACATGGAATGATTAATTAAGTTGTGCCTCACCATCTCTTAATACTGCCAATAAGATGGCGCCACACTGTTGGTGACTCTCTGTTGATTAGAGATCGCAATCGCGATCCACGACAAAATGGCGCCGATCACTTGCGCATGCGCAGTGGTCCAGTAAGATGGCGCCGACGATCTGCACATGCTCCGGTAGCCGACAAAATGGCGGGCGCATTAAGCAGGATTGTCATTCACAAATATAAATAGCACCTAAGTGGATGTCCTGCTTGCTAGCCCTTATCCCTATGAATACGTGCATCGCACGAAACGCGTCAGAGGGGCAGCAGCAACAGGGCATCTAACCACCGCTGGTGGACACCCTGGAATGTATGGTCAGTAACTTCTTTTGAAAATCTTTTTATGTACCCCACACCAACCAACCCTGAATAAAGGTACCTTAAGCAGTATCACGCTATGTGGTCTCTCATTGGGCACTCTGTGTGAGTGCTATCATTCGCAGTGCCCATCTGGAGGAACCATGACCCTGGTGGTGATACCTGGTAGCAGTTTCTGGTAACCTTGCCTCTGTGGAACCGGGATGGTGATCTGTGGGTAACCCGATCCGAGATTTGATGACCGATCTATGGCCTGGTGACGCAGGATTATATATTGTGTATTTTAAACACACATCTGGTGAGTGCGTTTTTCACCTATTTGTGTGGTTTGCACCTATTATCACACCTTGGATCAGGACGTCCACTCACCTGGAATTAGGATCTCTCCATGATCCGCACCATCATATTGAACTTTTTAATATTTATTGATCACCATCAGAGTGACATCACGCATGCGTATAAGTTTGCACTAGCATATTGTATGTATTAATCGTGTACTATTATTTAGCGCTGCACCATTTTATCTGGATATACATGTATTATTGGAGGTTTTCTTTTGGTTACCTTTTCGGTGTATCAGCTGCTTATTAACTTTGTTGTGTATACATATTTATACACATTTCCACTTTTGTTTTAAGGTAGCGCTCACTAAACATCTTTTACTACATAGATGTTATTAGGTCATCTGGGGTTGGGCATCCAGGACACAGATCTGCTGAAGAACGCCACCAGGAATAGTAGTATTTCAGCCTATATATCCAGGTTATGCAATCCAGATACACCAGGGGGAGCCAGCAGTCTAGATGTCATCCAGGATCCAAGGCTCAGAAACACAGATGAATATCAGATGGGTGCAATCTCTCAGAGGGTGCCAGTAATTAACCTGTCATCCCAGGGGATCCTTTAAGAGGTGGGCTCAAAGAAAAAAGAGCCCAAGCACAAATAGTTCCATAGTGCAACACCGTTTTTATTCAGAATTTGTATAAAAAGATAATAGTGACACTTACACTTTAAATTTCTGTTGGCATCTGGCCAGATGAGAGATCCACGTGGCTGAGTCACTGAGAGCAACTCCCTGACATGTTTCGTGCGATGGCACGTTATCAAAGGAAGCTGACTGCTCTCAGTGACAGCTCTTATGTAGTGTGGGCGGCGCATGCTCATTAGATGATCGTGACCTCATCGTCTGATATACTCGCACATGTGCAGATCGTCTGTGTGGCGGCCATTTTGAAGAAGACCAAAAATGCATTGACTTCTATGGGGGATTTTTCTCAGTGGGAAAGGACATGTGAACTCAATCAGTGCAGAATCTATGTATTGAGCCACTAATTCTCACGTGTTTAGATGGTTAAATAAACACGTATATTCTAGTTTAAATAGCAGAGATTGTCTAGATCTCTTCCTTTGATTCCCAAAGTTGATTATGTCCCCTCATTTATTTATTATAAATTTTACTCAGTATGTTTAATGAAGTGGTGGAACTACAAGTCTCAATTAGCTAGAGATCTCCATAGTATGCGCAGACCACAAATATAATTAGTCATCAGGCATTGAATACTTAATATTACACATTAAAAACAGACTGTATATATGAAAAAACAGTATATGCCTATAAAATGATAATGAATTACAGTTGCAAGAAAAAGTATGTGAACCCCTTGGGATTACGTGGAGTTTTGCATGAATTGGGCATAAAATGTGCTCTGAACGTCATCTAAGTCACAACAATAGAAGAACACAGTCTGCTGAACATAATACTACACAAACATTAGATGTTGCCATGGTTTAATTGCACATAACATGTAAACATTCACAGTGCAGTGAGAAAAAAGTATGTGAACCTTTGGACTTAATAACTGGTTGACCCTCCTTTGGCAGCAATAACCTCAACCAAACGTTTCCTGTAGTTGCAGATCAGACCTGCACAACGATCTGGAGTCATTTTGGACCACTCCTCTTCACAAAACTGTTTCAGTGTAGCAATATTCTTGGGATGTCTGGTGTGAATCGCTCTCTTAAGGTCATGCAACAGCATTTCAATCGGGTTGAGGTCAGGACTCTGACTGGGCCACCCCAGAAGGCATATTCTGTGCTGTTGCAGCCATTGTTTTGTTGAATTACTTGTATGCTTTGGATCATTGTCCTGTTGCATCACCCATCCTCTGCGGAGCTTTAGTTGG